TTTTTTTTTTTTTTTTTTTTTTTTTTTTTTTTTTTTTTTTTTTTTTGGTTTTTTGAAACAGGGTTTCTCTGCCTAGACATCAGTCTGTACACCAGGCCGGCCTCAAACTCAGAGCTCCGCCTGCCTCTGCCTCCTGAGTGCTTAGATTAAAGGCATGTGCCACCACCACCCAGCCCTAAATGTAATTTTTATAAATAGCATAATATTCACATAGCCATAATCACAACATGCAGAGTTTTATGAGGGCTTTTCTTCCTCTTAAGTGTTATTCTGTAAGCCATTCTTCACAGTTTACGATTGCCGTATCATTTTTAAATAACAGCAGGACTTTCTTTTTATTGTCACACCACAGCTCATGTAACAAAACTCCAGGGTTTCTCCCAGTTCTGCACTGTCACTGGCTCCCAGGAAAATCTTTCTCACAGCATTTTTAGACACTGACCGCTAAAAGCAATTTTCATTTTCTTTCTGGTCCTATGGAAAGAATTGGGTTTTTTTTGTTTGTTTTTGTTTTTTGTATTGCCTCTGTGTTGCTTTTAGAGACATAGAGGTGTATGTTTTTTATTGAACCCGAAGGAGAATAGGAGAGAGGGTTTCCTGAGGCCAATCAGTCTCACCCCAGAGCATAGTTGAAGAGTATCCGTCCTTCAGCTCCACACCATGCCTGGATGAAGAGATGAGTGACAGCCTATCCAGCACTGGTGAGCATCCTGGAATCCTGGTGTTCAGAGCCTCAGAATCCTATTGTCCTGGTCTCTGGAGTACCCAGGGTTGTACTGACTAGTTAAAGTATGGCAGAGAAGCTGGCCTCTCTGGGAAGCTACTGAACTATTTCAACTATGTGGAGATGTATTTTTAAAGTCTCATTATGGGCTATCTCCCCTGCTTCCCAGCTTTTACTCATTCCAGAAAGAATTCCAGTTAGTCATGGTCCATTAAGGATGCAGAGGTGAAAGAGGAAGAAAGTGAAGAAGGAGGGGGAGGAGCCCTGATGGTCCCTGAAGAAGGAAAATAATGAATGTGTAAAACACTATTTGGATTTTTTTTTTTTTTTTTTTACTGGCTTCAATAACTAATGACACATCTGCTGCTATTATTAGCTTTTGCCTTTACCAGGTTTGATCAAATTAGTCTGATTACCACTTACACACTGATATCAGTGCAAAGGATGCTCCTCTGTCCTGCTCCTTCCAATGATGGCAGCCATGGCAGTGCTGACGATGAGAGCAGCGGCAATAGCAGCTGTGATGGAGGTGCTGCTGCTGGCGGTGGCAGTAGCGACAGTGGTGACGGTTGTGGTGGTCAGATGGCTGGGCATGGTGGTTGTGATATCTGGGGTGGAGGCAATGAGGGTGATGATGAGGATGATGAAGGTCGCGCACACGTGTGGCAAGATATTGTCATTCTATGCCGCAAACCCTTCAAATGCAACGACCCCTGACTTCCAACAGTCTGATGACGCAGGCGGCACTCTCCCGATTTTACAGGGGGAGACTGAAGTCAGCTACGTTGTTTGCAGAGATCTTGAAGCAGAGGGAATTACAGACCCACCAGACACACGGGACCACAGCTTAGGATTATGATTCTTCACTGCGCCTTCACTAAGCCACTAAGCTTCGGCAAGCTTTCCCAAGCTCCTTTCCTGTTTGTGAGAGCGGACAGACTCAGTTTACAATCCAGTCGTCCTCCACACAACATCTCTCGATCCAGGCTGCTTGAGTCCATCCTATGAGGGCTTATTCAGTCAGTCCATTCTAGGCCCGAAGTCCACGATTTTGACTCTGTAGTTCACTTGGGTTTTTGCATTATAATACATAGGCTAAGTGGCTGGCAAATGACAGAAATGATTTCTCCACATTCGGCAAACTGGAAGTCCTAAATCAAAATGCAGGCAGATTTGCTGCCGAGTTTTCTGGCTCCTTGGCGGTGCTCCTGGCCGTGTCCTCAGAGTGGAGGAGGCGAGGATCTCTCTGTGGCCACTTCTTTACGGGCACGAGTCACACTGTCCTCTTATCTTCTTCCTGCTGAGACAAAATGCCTGGCAGCATGGCCTAAGGGAGGAGGAAGGTCTTCCGGGCCTGGTTTAAGAAGGGGCTATGTGGGCATCATGGCCACCATGGAGGCAGGAGCATACAGCTGGGGCTCTTCAAATCTCAGCGGATGAGAAGTGAGGGGAGGGTGGGGAAAACGCTGGTCCGTGGCCGCTTTCTCCTTTTTCTCTTTTCATTAGTCTGGGATTCCAGTCACTGGACAGTCCGCCCTCCTCCATCAAGTCTGAGCAGAGGCACCCTCGAGTGCCTGCCCCACTCAGGAGCTTAGTGACCTCCCCCAGAGCCGCACCTCCCATCCTTGGGAGGTCGAGACTTCAGTGTCTGAGCTGGAGAGAGAAGGAGGACAGAGGCATTCTGATAGCAGGTCCTGGTGCCCTTTCCCAGGCTGTGTCTGGCTAGGTGTGGTGTTGCAGACCTGGAATCCCAACACTCAGGCGCCAGAGGAAGAAGCATCATGAGTTCAAGGCCAGCCTGAACTGCATAGTTAGACCTCCCCAAACGAGCAAACACAAAATGAAAACCCAAAACATCCTGAGGTGCCTATTACCACATCCTTTAGACGGCTGCTGCAAAAACGCTCAGGTGCGGCTCTCCCGAGAAGCCTGTCATGCCTGTGAGTGTGTTGTGCTGTCTCCAAGTACCTTTCTTTCTAGTAACCCCTGTGCGCTAACCTCTGTTAAAATCGCTCCCTAGTCGAGTGCACACCTCTAATCCCAGCTCAGAGGGTTGCCAAAGAACTCCTTCCTTTCATTATTTAGTAATCTATAGACAGGGTCTCATGTAGCCCAGGCTGGCCTCTAACTGGGTTTACATGGCTCGGAGGATGACCTTGAACTTTGATACTCCTGCCTCTACCTGCCAAATGTGATTATAGCCATGGGCCAGCATGCCTGGTTTTATGTGGTACTGAGGGCCTCCATCATTCTGCATTAGCACCCTACCAACTGGGCTACATCTCTAGTCTCCCTTCTGTCCCTCCCTTCCTCCTTCCCTCCCGCTCTTCCTCCAGCAAACAAGAATGGTCCCCAAGGCCCCCTGAGTGGGCCTGTAGGCACTCAGGTGAAAGCATGGATCAACAAGGTTGCACATACAAGCTAAGATATGCTCCTGCTGCAGACGAAGTTACAGCCATGTTTGTAGGACTCTCAGGCTCACAGATGGAGAGGAGAGAGGCCGTATACAGCCCGTAAGCACGTTCTCTGCTCTCGTGTTTTCCTTTGAGACCACATTGTGAAGCGAATGCTCTGTGCAGACCTCACAGCTAGTGCTGTCAACTACGATAGAATTCTTCCCTCACAGCTGGTGAGGGTTCCCACAGCTGGTGAGGGTTCCGATTCCTGAGCGACGGCTTCCTTTCTCTTCCCATGTCCTATGTTAACTTACTCCATCTTTCTATCTTGCTTCTATTGTCCTTTTGGGCCACCGTGGAATCCAGGAGCAACAGGGTAAGTCTTCATGACAAGAGGCTGAAGCCATACCCATCAGGCAGGCCACCCCCAAATGAGCCTTATCCATGGTGGGAAGGCTTAATCCAAGAGCAGATTTGTCCCCTTCTGTGATCATTAACAACTTATCTGATGACCCTGCAGGACCTGAGCTGAGACAATGACAGGCCGGCGGGTACACGCTGCAGGGCCCACGTCACTAGTCCTCCTCAGAGTTAGACCTAAACTTCCTGCATTTCCCTGAGGATCTGCAGTCCCTGGATTCTTATCTGCCCCTCTCCCCCGGATGGCTGCCAGCCTCTCTCTCTCTCTGTCTTTCTGTCTCTCTCTCTGCCTTTTGTCACTGTTCCTGCCTTTGGTGTGTCAGGACAGGTGGGAAGGCTTCTGTGCTGCAAACACCTACTTTAGGGGGTGAAAGACAAAATGAGTAAGAGTGACAACGATGCTATCCAAACACCCACCAAGAGCTTAGCTGTGTTCCTGCTTGCCTGAACGGGAACCCCACAACCCATGGAGGAGGCTAGTCTCACCTTTATCTTACAGTGGACTGAAGAGATAGCGCCCCCTGCTGACAGGGCAGTCAATAATAGTCCAGGTGGGACTTGAACACAGCCAGAATCTGGCAAAGAATCCATATGCATCTTAGCCAAGACACACAGCAGAAACTGACTCCAGTCAGCTGGAGTCCCAACTGAGCCCTCTCTCCCTGGATGAGCGTCTCACCGTTAACCTCCTGGCTTCTCTTCCCCACTGCACACACTTTTATATCGAGGGAGTAAATATTAGTAATGTCTCTTGAAAATGGTTTAGCTCTTAGCTATTTTTAAAAAAGATTTATGTGTTTTAGTTTTATGTGTGTGAGTGTTTTGTCTGCACGAATGAATATTCTGAGGCCTCCGTGCCTGAGGTCTGGAAGAGGGCAGGCCTCCGAACCTGGAGTTGTGAGCCTCTGCAGCCCCATCTTCCCGCTGTTTTTAAGGACATGATGTTTTAACTGTTGCGCTGTTTTTCTATCCTCTTCCCTCCCGGTTACAGTGTTTGGCTGGGCAGCAATCCCCAACTAGACAGGGGCTTGGAGGACACTTTGAGGCAAACAAGCTTGGGTCTGAAGTGGGTGAAAAGTAACTTTTATTCGCCTGTTTCAGTTGTCTGGGAAGCTTACTGCTTTTGTCTGCTAACCTAGGCCTAGTCCTGGAAGCTTCCAGCCTCTGTACAATCTAATGTAGGCCTAGAATGTTTTCAGCCTCTGAGACTTAATGCTGAGTAAGCTCACCCTTTCTTGTTCTTGCTGAGCTCTGGGCCAGCTGGTTCAACTCAGTTGTTCTGGCTCAAACTCCTCTCCCAACTGACTGATTCAATCTGGCTTTTCTCTCAGCCTCTGAATTGCTCTGCTTGGCCTCAAACTAACTCCAGCAGTCTGCTCTAATCTTCTGGCTACTTCTCATTCTCTGGCTCATTTGTTCTTCACCTGAGTTCTCTCTCTGCAACCTGTCTCTCTATTACTGTCCCGGTAAAACTGCCTCCCCTCTCTCTCTGCACTGTCCCTTAAGTAGCTTCCCTTTCCTCTCTCTTCTCATCAGAGTCGAGTGTATCCTATTCTGTCAAATCTTTCTCTGATTCTTCACTGTTTCTGCCACTCAGACATCACTTCCAAATATGGGTGCTTCCTTCTACAAACTAACTTTACCTTCATTGCTTGGGATTAAAGGTGTGTACCACCTGAACCTAAAAACCTTTACCTGAAACTTGCTCTATACCAGGCTGGCCTTGAACTCAGATCTGCTTGCCTCCTTCTCCTGGATTAAAGCTGTGTTAGTATTCCCACTGGACCACACAGACCTAGAAGGTCTTTGACTCTGATCTCTTGCCAGAGAAGCCATGTTCTGAATTTAAATTCCTCTACAAATTGGGGCAGAGGAGCAATTCCACTTCCAAAGCTCAGCGAGTTCAAACAGCACATGACAGTTTACCAATGTATGCCATAGGCTGCAACTGCCACCTGACCAGAGAGGCAAAGGGACTCCATCTATCTATCTATCTATCTATCTATCTATCTATCTATCTATCTGTCTGTCTGTCTGTCTGTCTGTCTGTCTGTCTGTCTGTCTGTCTATCTGTCTGTCTGTCTGTCTATCCATCTATCTATCTATCCATCCATCCATCCATCCATCCATCCATCCATCCATCTACCTACCTACCTTCCTATCTATTTACTTATTTCTAGACCCAGGACTTGCTTTGTAGACTAGGCTGGCCTCAGACTCACAGAGATCGTCCTGCCTCTGCCTCCCAGAGTGCCACTGAGCCAGCTGGTGAAAGGACTCTTGTCTGGGAGGTGCTCTTCTACGCTGCTGACTTCTTACAGGGCCTCGAGCCAGCATCACCTCTCCAGTTTCCTTTCTGTAGCTGCAGAAATGACGTGCTAGTTCAGCTCTGCAGGGTCCTAGCAGATTCTAGTATTTCACCTAAGAATAAAATGCCCCACAGACCTTTCTAGCCCCATGGAACTGATCTGAACTGCAGGTGGCAAGGGTAGGTCCTGAGTACCACCTAGTGGTGGTACCCAGAATTTCGTTTACTGATGTCCTCTGCTGGTTCTCTAGGAAGGCCATGGAAGCCCTACCTGGCCCCAGGACACTTCAGGGATCGCCAAGGCTTGTCTGTTCTGTGAAATCCCCTGAGTTTCCGCCTGCATGGTCAGGATGGTGTTCTGTTTGAGGTCCAGACTGACTCCATCTGTGGGGCATCCCCTGGAGAAGGTGGCCAAGGCTTTGGGGAAGCAGCGTTCACTTTGATGGAAGAGGAAATTAAAGGAGAGTGAAGTTAAAACACTTTCTGAGAGCATATGTTTGATTGATAACTTAGAATACACCCAATCCTTGGAAAATACAATTCATCCCGTATGAACTATAAATTTAAATACAGCCACAACTGTTAAGGAAATTGAATTTAAAATTTAAAAACTCACAGGAATGAAGTCTCCAATCCCAGATGGTTTCACTGGAGAATTTACCAAATGTTGAAAGAAGAGTCGGCTCAATTTCTACACACTCTCTTTCAGAAAATAGAAGAGGGGACACTTCCAGTTCATTTTACAAAGCTAGCATGCCTCTGAGAGTAAAGCCAGAGACAGTACAAAGATCTACAACCACAGTGGCCTGGGCCCAGTCTCATCTGACTTTGAAAGTAGGCTGGGATTTGGGCATGGTGGTGCATGTCTTTAATCCCAGCACTCAGGGAGGCAGAGGCAGGCGGATCTCTGTGAGCCAAGGCCAGCCTGGTCTACAGACAGAGTCCAAGGCTCCAAGACAGCCAAGGCTATACACAGAGAAACCTTGTCTTGGAAAAAAAAAAAAAAAAGACCACCTGGCATCCATGGACCGAGCCCCACTGGCAATGCATGTAACTTTTCTTTGTATTTCTGAATTCTATTTAGTAATCTTTTGTTAATGAAGTTGCATCCATATTTAATACTGGGATTACAGGCACGTACCACTGCATCTGGCTATGCGGTTTAAATAAGAACGGTCCCCATGGGCTCATTAGGTGTAGTCTTGTTGAAGTAGGTATGGCCTTGTTGGAGGAAGTGTGTCACTAGGGGTTAGGCTCTGAGGTTTCAAAAACTCATGGCAGGCCCAGCGTCCCTCTCTGTGTGAGGCTGAGAAGGTTAACTCTCAGTTATTGCTCCATCACCATGCCTCCACCATGGCCCTCGCCATGACCCCCACCATGCCACCGCCATGCCCCTGCCATGTCCCCACACGATGATAATGAACTAAACTTCTGAAATCCAGATCCCAGTTAAATGCTTTCTTTTGTAAAGGTTGCCTTGGTCACGGTGTCTCTTCACAGCAACAGATCACTGACTCAGACACCAGGTAGCAGAAAACTAAAACCACTCACAGAAATTCACCATATTCACAAGCTGAAAAGTAGAAATCACAAAAGCATGTAAATGAGCATATTGTTATGCCAGCACTCTGGAGGCAGAGGCAGGCAGATCCCTGAGTTTGAGGCCAGCCTGGTCTACGGAGTGAGTTTCAGAACAGCCAGGGATACACAGAGAAATGTTGTCTCAAAAAAGCAGGGGTGGGGAACTTTTCAAAAATAATTAAGTAAATGGCTGTATTCTACATAGTGAGCTACAATCCAGCCAAGACTATATACTGAGACCCTGTCTCAAAAAATAAAATAAAACAACTCCCAGATAAATGAGAAGAGGAGCATCTTTTCAATTTAATAAAGAGACACAGAAGAAAAACACCTCAGCCAACACACTCAACAGAGAACGGCTGGAGCTTCGTCCAGAGATTATGAAGGAGGAAAATGGCTCACTCTCTTTCCACTCCTGCATAGTATTTGGGTGGAATAAGGAAAAAAACAGACAAAAAAAAAAACAAAACAAACAAATGAAAACAAACCATGGTGCAGAGAGCAGAAGGAAAGGTGCATTTGCAGGTGCAGTGTTTGTGGGTGGCAGGCTGTCAGTGCAGTATTCAAAACCACCCAGCCAACGAAAACCAAACTAGCAATCAAGTCTAAGGAGGACACAGTATGTAAGGATACACAATAACCAATTGCAATTGAGTATCTGAGTAAGGAACACAGCTTGAGTGCCAATTGTTAAATACAATATTGTTTGTAATTACACACCAAAATTAAACACTTAGGTGTCAACTTATCAATACACAGTTCTTGGGTTTTCTTATGCCCGGGCTGGTCTCAGATCTCAGATCGCTAATGTGAATGAAGAAGACCTTGAACTGCTGATCTTCACGAGTGCTAAGACCATAACCAGCCTACACAGCACAGAGGATCAAATCAGGAGGTCTCTGTATGCCAGGCAAGCAGCCGAGTCCCACCAGAGCCCATTTACAGATTTCTATGCTGACAACTATAAAATATTTATGAAAGGAATTCAAGAAGCTATAAATACATAAAGAGACGTCCATACTCATGATTGGCAGGTTTGTTGTGGTAAAGAAGTTGGTTCTGTGGAAAGCTGCCAGCAAGAATGCTTAGCTGTGAATATAAGTCTAAACTTTATCTGGAAAAGAAAGGAAACCAGAATAACTCAGACAACTTTGAAAAGAAGAATAAAGCGGGAGTAATCTGTGCCCCCATTTCAAGAGTCATCATGATGTCAACATGATCAAAAGTGGGTGGGGACTTAGAGATCAACGAAAGGGGACCCAAGAATACACTCAACAGACTGTTTGTTTGTCTGTTGAGACAGGGTCTCACTATGTAGCCCTGGCTGGCCTGGAATTTGCTGTGTCTGCCAGGCTGTACTCCAAATCACAGAGATCTGCCTGCTCTGCCTGCCCGAGGGCTGGGACTACAGGTGTGCGCCACCACTTCTGGCTAAGAGAAAAAGCCAGTCAACTTCCCTGATGACTCAAACAAAAGATGAAGAAAACAAAAGGCAGGAGGGTAATGAAACACCTCGAGGATTGTCAGTGTTATTAGTACCGTTGAGTACTGTGCTAAGTCTCAAACTCAGGACAAATGGCTGAGGTGCCTATTCACACATCAAAGTGGACTTAGTCCACCAGCAGCTCCGATCATCCTAAGCACCTGTGACAGAGTCCTGGCTCCCCAGTACCCTTCAGCTGTGCGCTCTACCCCACACCTCTGCAGTCCCTGAGCCTCACTTCCCTACGCCAGCTTCTGAGTCCTCTGTGACAACCATTTTGACCACGTGCTCTCTTGGTTCAGCTCTTGGCTCCTCTCTTGGATCTCTTTGCTCTTTTGTCTCGACCCCTCTTCTCTTCCTCGTCTGCTCTCCCTTTCTCTCTTTTCTCTCATGGCCTGGTCTCTTCTGCTGGCTGTGCTCAGTCTGGACTCTTCCACATGCCTCTGCCTGGGCTTCCCTCACATCTATAATAAAAACCTTCTCCCAAGCAGACCTAGAGGAGGTCATGTTCTCACTTTCATTCAATTGTGGAAATTAAAAAGTACGTGCGTGAGTGTGTGTGTGTGTGATAGAACCTAGGGCCCCACACATGCTAAGCAAGCCCTTTCCACTGTCACACAGCTCCACCTTTTTATCCTTTCCCTTCGGCCACTGGGCATGAGGGCTGTGTTTTGCCAGGGCATGAGGGCTCTGGAGTCCTGGCTTTCTGTGCTAGAGCTAGGAAAATCCCTTGCGAGTCAGGCACCATTCACTCTGCCAGAGGCTTCCTCTCCGCTTTCTCATTAGATGGTAACCTGAAGGGCACAGGTGTGTTTTGCCTTAATGTCAACCTTGATATGTTAGACGCTGAATAATCACTTGGAGATAGAAGGAACAGAGGGAGGCAGAGGAGGAAGAAAGATGTCGAAGTCACCCTGTCTCTAGTACTTCCAAATTACTTCCTCCTCCTCTTTTCAGGAGAACCCTACAGAGCTCCTTGCACCACTGTCTGCTGTGAGCAAACATCCTGTGATGACCTCTGACCCGACTGCGCCCTACCCTAAGCTGGCCCCTCTGAGTGGCTGTCATACAAACCGCACATCACCAAAATGTCGGAGCCCAGTACGTGAACAGACGGGTTCTGGGCACAGCCAGCCTAGATTCAAATCCTGGCCATGTGTTACTGGCCATGTGACCTTGGACAAGCTGTTTTCATGCTTTCTACCTCAGTTTCTTTACCAAATACTACAAGGTCAGGGTCAGTAAAATGGCTCAGCAGATAAAGGCACCTGTCACCAAGCCTGACAACCTGAGTCCAATCCCTGGGGCTCGCACGGTGGAGGGAGACCAGCAACTCCTGAAAGGTGTCCTCTCAGCTCCATGCAAGCACTGTGATATGCTCACACGTGCGCACAACACATCGGCGTGCATGTACACACACAAAGTCAATCAGTCAAATTAATTTAAAATAATACAGTATCATAGCCGGCACAGAGGTGCACACCTATAATCCCAGCACTCAGGGAAGCAGAGGCAGGAGGATCTCTGGGAGTTTGATACCAGCCTGGTCTACAGAGCGAGTCCATGACACCCAGGGCTACACAGAGAGACCCTGTCTCGAAAAACCAAAATAATAATAACAACAACAGTAACAGTAACAAAGGATCAGGGCTGGGGAGATGGCTCAGGGGTAAAATACTTGCTTCACAGGTGTCAGGCTGAGCCTGAATTCCTGGCACCCACAGAAAAGCCACAATCTGAGGTGCACATCTGCAAGTCTAGTGATGGGATGAGGTGGAGACAGGAGCATCCCCGGAGTGTGACAGCTAGACAGTCTAGCTGAGCGTCAGAGTGAGAGAGTCCGACTCAAAGAACACATATGATGGAGAGTGATACAGAAAGACACCAACGTCTGTCCTACACACACACACACACACACACACACGCACACACACGCATGCACACACAGGCTCTGTCACATAGGTTACTGTGAGAATTTAACATGAGCTGCTACACAGAAGCTATTTAGAACAAAGCCTGGATATAGAATGCTCGGTGATGTTAGCTAGAGTTATATTAAAGACAGACAGACAGACACCTAAAACCCCACTAAAGAGACTGGAAATGGTCAGCATAGTGACCTGAACCTGCCGGTGGCTGTGCATCCTGGAAGCAGAGCAGACAGTGGTTGCTGACAAATCTAAAGGTCAAGAGAGGAGAGGGCCTTTGGGGGTGAGGAAGATGACACAAGGAGGCCGCAGGTCACCACTGTCTATCCCTTATGAATGTCCCTTTTCGGGTGTCCCCATTCGTTTCCAGAGAGACCAGATCAGCCAGTGCCCTGTCTACAACTACACTGCCATGTACCTTGTTACTTGAGGTGGCCTGGGAGCTTCTGTTCACCACAGTCCTCAAAGGGAACTTTACACAGCTATTGTGATGAGACTACGTGTCCTGTTGGCCAAGTCGTCTATCAGTGCCCAGACCTCCTCACATCCTCATGTCCAGACCTGCGCTGTTCTTCCTGGTGGTTGAATCACAAACCGGGAAGCAGAATGTCCAAGATGGCTCCCCTTCAAGCGTGTCCTCAGTGCTGTCTTTCCCTAGCCTCTGACCCGAGAGACAGCAGGGGAAATAGAGCATGCTGGATTCAAATCCAGGGTCCCACTCATCCTTATCTGCATCCTTTAAAACAATGATTTCTCTATTTTTATTTTATGTGCATTGGTGGCTTGCCTGAATGTCTGTGTGAGGATATCAGATCACTTGGAACTGGAGTAAAGACAGATGTGAGCTGCCATGTGGTTGCTGGGAATTGAATGCAGGTCCTTTGGAAGAGCAGCCAGTGCTCTTAACTACTGAGCCATCTCTCCAGCTCCTATCACCATCCCTTTTGGAGAGCTAACAAAACAGCCCCTTGTCTGCAGACCCAG